CCACTGTTTCCTAGGCTCCAGGGATTCCTGTACGGCAATACTTCGGGCTACATCTTGTTATGGGGAATTTAAGGCAGGTGTGGCGTGGAATGTGTTTGTGTAGGGGTGGGGCTGGGGGCATTTAGCTTCCCCTCCTCCTCCTGACTTGGGCTGTGTGAGTGTCTGCTAGGAGGGTGGGGTGAGACACACAGGCAGGTAGGTATCTCTCCCTGTGTCCCCAGTTCCGAAGAGGTTCCCCTCCTGGAAACTGGAGGCGTTCCTGAGACTCCATCTTGCTTTAGGGACGTGGACTGACCTGGTGTTCAGCGTCTGGAAGGCATGGCTGCTGGCCAACGTCACAGACCCTGGAGGAGGCCAAGGCCAGCCAGCGGCTGGGAGTGATTACTGCGGGATTAGGGAGGCCTGGCTCCAGCCAGTCTGGGAGAGACCCCCAAGAAAGGAGGCCCTGGAGGAGCCAAACCAACCCCACACCCACCCCAGGTTCTTGTTCTAGAACAGCTTTGCAGCAGCTTTGTTCTGGGGTCCTCCCAGGAGACATCTGTGGCCCACATTCTGCAGACCGGAGAGCCCGATTCTTGTACTGGGTCCCAGAAGCACCCCCGCAGGTTGACAGGAGGAACTCCCCCAGGTTCCAGGGAACCTCTCACCCCACCTTTATGAAGGGCTTCTCCTGGCCCTCAGCACATCCACTTCAGAGTAGAGTGCTCTAAGGGAAACTGGGACAGACGTGAGTACACGAATGGAGCCGGAAACGTGCCCATCTAGGAGCAGTCAGGCCAGCATCTCTGGATCCCCTACTTCAGAATCTTCTGTGGGGCTCGTTAAAAGATTCCTGTAGTTGAGCTGAAATACAGAACTAGGCAGGCTTGTGTGGCACGATGGAGGTGAGGAGCAGGACCTAGGTAGTAGTAATAAGATGCCCAGGGGGGCACCAGCACCCAAACGCCAAATCCAGGGAAAGAAATATGCAAGATAACACTTTGAGCCAAGGCCATGTCCCAGAGGCCAGGGAGGGGTCACATTCGTGGGACAGTTGGCCAGTCAGGCCCCGGGTGTATGGGACCCAGTGAGCCTCACCTCTGTTGTGGAGATCTTCAGGGACTTTAAGAGCTAAGGACACACCATCCCCACTCTCCTTCGCTCGAGAGGTGGGGGTGGGGTAAAGGCCCTTCAATGCCCCTGGTCCTTTGGGAGCCCACAATTCAAATACTGGAAATGGCAAAGGACCCTTTTCACCCCCAAGTCAAAGCTGAGACCAGTTAGACTGGGGACACCTGGTGGACAAATAAGGAAACGCATAGAAACAAAGCGACGAGAAAAACATTTTTTTTAAGTAAAACTGGAAAAACTCTATAAAAAGTCATGACTGTGACTACTCAACCGCCTGTGGGCACAAACCCCAGAATTGTGCCCAGGGGTGGCACTCTGGGCACCCGGGGTAGGCTCACTCGGTATGAAGCGGTGTTTACACTGATGCATTCATTTGGCGGCGTGGCGACAGGGTGTGTGTGTGTGTGGGGTGTGGGGCTCCCACTCTTGCATGGGTGGGCTTCCTTTTCCTCTATAGAGGGGAGGAATGCCCAGTCCTGCCTAGGGATCTCTGGTGGTCCGAAGGTGATCTACGGACACTCAGGAAGCTGCTCCCTGGTCTAAGACTAAGAGGTGGTCCGAGACAGAGGACCATGGCCGCCAAGAAGAGCCCCCTTCTCATGCCTGCGAGTGTGGGGACACCACGAATGGGTTCGAGGGAGGAAAGGCGAGGAGCCCAGGTAATCCCACCCCAGCCCTACATCTCCAGTCCTGCCCCACCCTGGCTCTAGGAGGCGTTGTGCCCCCATTTCTAGGGGAGGGTTCAATCACCGCTCAAGGCTGAAGACGTAGAATGGAAAACAGCCCGCCGTGGAAACGTGGAAACCCGCCGGCCTGGGGAAGGGGGCTGTCTCCGCGTGTGGCTGGAGTCAAAGAGCACAGCCACTCGGCGACGGTGCGATCACGTGCTCGGCGCCTGTTTACGTCGTCTCAGGCTTCACCTGCAAGCGGCTGGGAAGCAGGAGCCTCCGACCCGCTGGTCACGGGACGCCCCCAATCCCCACCCCCGCCACAGCCGAGTGTCCTGCCCACAGGCGGAGGAGGGACGCGGGCCGGTGGCCCTGCCCCTGTGTCTGCAAGGGTAACCCCCTGGGCACCTCCTTTCCCGAATGCACGTGTGTTCGGGTCCCAAGTACGTGCGTGGATCCGGAGGCTCGCGTGTGGGCCCGTTGGCGCGAGTTTCCGTGTCCCTTCCTGTGCAGACTCTAGTTAATGCCCCCTACAGAGTGGGACCCTCCTATCGTACCCCAACTCCTAGGGACTGGGAAAGTTCGCTCCGGAGCAGAGATGTGCTGGAGGCTGGAGTTCTTACCCTTCCGCGGTCCCACCACTCACCAA